AGTGATCTATTGGCTAGCAGAATGGTTTTTATCTGCAATTAATTTGCCAAAAACTTTTCGCTAATATAGTTGCTATTTAATCGGGAACCAATTCCCTTTTTTAAAATATATGTTACATATTTACTTATGTATATCTCTGAGTTGATTTTGATATCATTTATAATATAAACATCTATTATTTTAATGTTGATTAAGGTGCAAGATAGTTAATCCCAATATTTTTATAAAACAGTATTATTGTTCCAAATAAGCCTAAATTTATTCTACACAAGAGTGGGCTCTTCTGATAATATGATGTGGTGTCGGTATTTTCCATTATGGCATTACATTATTGTTCCAAATAAGCCTAAATTTATTCTACACAAGAGTGGGCTCTTCTGATAATATGATGTGGTGTCGGTATTTTCCATTATGGCATTACATTACATTCATTACATTATTCTAAAATAATATTTCAAGAAGTTTCTTCGTCAAATGTTCTCTAGCACAATCTCATCCTCAATTATTCATAAGAATTATCACCAATATTTTCATTTTTGATTCTCCGAATGACTTTAGTTCTTTCTTATTTTATGTCTGTCATCATAGTAAAGCTTAAATCTTGATAATTTAGTCTTTTTAATTCTTAATTTTGACTATTCATCATGACTTTCGACGAACTGTCATGCTTTAGTACCATCATAATAATTGTTCCTTATTTCAATTCTTTTTTAGATTCCGAGGGATATGAGTTTCAGTTGATCTCAATGGATCGCCAATGGCATTTCGAAGCACCTAGTGTGGAAGAACGTGATGATTGGGTGATGCACATCGAACGCGCTATCATGACACGATTGCAGTTGAATGAGTCAAATAAACGGTCCAGCTCAGGGATTTCCAGCTCAAGTGGAATGCTCTCTACAGCTAGTGGTCAGCTAATTGGCAGTCTAGCTTCGGTCGGCAGTACCTCTGGCCTTTGTGGAGGCGTCTCTGGTTTAGGACTTGGTGGCGCGGCCTGTGGAATTGGGTCTAGCTCAGGACTTGGGCACGATCCAGCCGGAGGGCGATATTGCTCCGCCTTGCCTGGAGGTGATTCAGATAGTCTGTGTGGTGGTGGTGGAGTTGGTTCTGAAGAGCGAGTGGTGACCACAATCCGTTCGATCGCCGGCAACGATGTCTGTGCTGATTGTGGAGCTCCAGGTTAGAGTGCATTGTGGACATTGTTAATATATTATCCGACTACTCAGTTAATTAGAACAAGAAAGCCATCGGATATTATCAAGGAATTTTCTTAATAGCTTTTAGAAATATAGATCGTAACTTGTTTCAATAGAAAAACATCGTTTCTGCTCAAGAACCGCTTTGTCTGTACCTCTGAGCCCTTTATTGATAAACCATCCTTTGGTTATACACTATAAGTACTTAAGCTTTGTTTCGGCCAGGTACACTTACTAGCAAAGTGGGCTTCTGTTTCTACTGCTTAACTCTCACTAATACTCACGTCAGTGTTTGAACATGGTTCCCGTTTATTTTGCAAAATTTGAAGCGTTTAGCGCGATTTATTGAAAACTCGCTGATATGTTAATAAGAGAGAAGCGTCGAAACTGCAACGATCTGTTGATTTATTTTTGAATATAACTAAAGGTTAAGTTTATGTAAAATTAAATTTATTGTTTTAAATATCACTGATATAATACCGATAAAATTCCTTACAAGTAGGATTTACTAAAACATTGTTGTGGAGACTCATTTCACATGAAAGTACTTGATCAAGAGATTTAAAGGTCGATCTCACCAGGAGATGTCGATTATGTCCCGTTGTACTGCAACCGTTTGGCTTTAATACGACGTTCAGGCTGACAGCCCACGAGAAATCCTCTCTCGTCTCGGGCCATAACGGGCTGAGCTTTCGTTATTCATATGGCGAGCATCATCAGACCTAGGACTCATGAGGTATGAGTATATATAATACGTAAGATGGAGCCGGACAGTCTTCTTGACCTAGTGTTAACACGATACTTTTACAAGAATGAGCATCAGCTCTGATGATGCCTTTCACATGATGGACGAAAGCTTAGTCTATTTTAACTCTAAACGAGGAAGGATATCTCGTAGACTGCGTCAATCTAAACGTCATATTAAAGCCAAACATCTGCAGTACAAAGGGAATCAGCCATCGTATTCTTGTGAGATCGACCACCACTTTAATACGAAATGAAAGTCTCTACAACAAATTTTTTTGAGGCGATCTATTGAAACCTGTTTTTTACGTATATGTACTAAAAGTAGTGCGTTTTTTGAAACATTGTTTTAAATGTATTTTTTGCTGGCTTACACTTCCTGCGATCAATTTTTGAGACAACGGTATGCTATATGAATATTCTTTGCTTCAATTTAGTTGATCATTTATTTTATGAAAATTCCTATCCCCTAATTTTATATCTTTTTATGCCATATAATTATTTTAATCCCAGCCTTTGGTTCGCGAACTGTATTCTTGTAATCTAGTTTCTTATGTCATATGCTAAACAATATTTGGCGTTTTTATTTTCCTAATTTTATAATCACAATATCTTACTTCGTATTTAATTCATTCGGTAAATCTATCGTTTCATTATCTTATTCATAGTTTTCGAAATCTATCTTATTTGATTTCGTTTTTAAGTTGGCTTTTGACACTAACAGTAGATTTTGAATACGAACTTTATTCACCCTATTTAATTTAAGGTGATGACTGACTGATAGTTGAATTTGCCCTCATTGATATTAATAGACCTCACGTTTCCATTGAATTTCACATCGACTTGCCTCCCAAAGTAATTATCATCTAGGGTGGACTGCATTTTCTACTTTACATAAGCCTCATCAGCGACCCAGCTGAACTCGAGCTTAGTAGAGCAGCATATAGTCTAAACACTTAACCGTTACGCCACTG